ACTCTCTCTCTCTCTCTCTCTCTCTCTCTCTCTCTCTCTCTCTCTCTCTCTCTCTCTTTCGCTCGCTCTGCCGCTATAATCCGCAGCGTGAAAATTTTCGTCCTTATTGCCGTGGAAGCCGTGTACGTTTTGCGCGAAAGTTTCGCCGGAAACACGCCTGCGACCGACGAAAACGGTGGACGGAAAATTCAGCGACGTCGAAGGGCCGTGCAGCACGATAGAGAGATAAAAGAGAGGCGTCGACGGGGGAAAATGCGAAAGACAGGGTGCACGTAGGGTGTCCGGAAGTTGCCGGCGCTTCTTTTCGTGCAAGCTCGACAAGCCGAAGTCGATTTCCGCGCGACCGCGATTCCACTCGACGTCATTCGTTCGCGAACGCGAAAGCTGTGACGGCGGTACAACCGCGACGCCTCCATCGGGAGCAACCCCACGGATAAGTCTGAGATTTCCGTACACGCGAGAAGACACCCGATATACGCGGCTAAACCTAGCAGCGTGTCCTTTTATCCTTTCTCTCCCCCGCGGTGTGCTCGGTTATACGGACCGCGGCAATAAATTCCGCCGTCTCCGCGCTTTATCGTCGCGTCTCCTTTCAATTTTGCGCCATTCGCGACGCGCAAACATCGATCTTCGTGTTTCTCCACGTGAATCGACGTCTTGCCTCGTGGGGTCCCGGACAAATAAAAGCCCCTCTTCCTCCACGAGCCCATCCGCACACACATACGGTCCTCACCGGCGGCGATACTTAACCAATGGCCGGGTGTGTCACGTATTAGTCGATAATCGCCTTCGAAGAAACTTGAGGGAAGCATCCGCGCGTGGCGGAGCTCCCTCGTTCGCGAAAATCGTTGCGTCGGCGTGGCTATCGCCAAGTACGAGCGGAAGCGACGACGTCAGCACGATTCATCGTGCCGTGCCGTGTTTCCCGGGTTGAAATTTGGGCTCTGAATTAATCCTGTAACTCTCATCGAAAATCTTAACAGCCCGCATTCAAAATATATTATTTCACCCCAATCCTCTTGTATATACATAATCCTTGAGAGGATTCTTTTAAAACTGAACGGAAAATACTACGACCACAATATTTTTAAAGTTGCTAAATAATTTTGTCTACAGTACAAGTCTTCTTTTTAATAGAAAGATATACTTTCCCTTAAAAGAGATTTTTCCACTTCAAGTAAACATATTCTTCTCCATTCGAAAGAAAAGAGTTAAAAAAATAGATTTCCTACTAATGGTCCATAATTTTATTCAGTGTGATGAGTACTATCTATTCTAAGTCTTGAGCCTATTGTTTTTTGACACTCAGTATAAAAGAATATCACTGAGGATGAGATTAAATTTTAGATGTGTCTAATGTTACCTTCATTATGTTATGTTATATTTTACTAGGCCTTCAAGTTGAATGAAATTTGTAGGATTAAATACAACGAAAATTTCGAGTCTGATTATACTTGCGTTCACGAATGACGCCGCGATTTATCTATACTGTGTGCTGACTTTATTCATACTGAGGTAAATGGAGATCGATGCGTTCTTAGCTAAATGAAAAAGGTTGTATTTTATCAATTCCTTAATGAGACGCGCGCATTTGGCGCTCACAATTGCTTCTCCGATATAATTTTAATCTAATTACAATATATTCACCGATACATTATACGTAATCGTATACTATACATATTATAGATAATCGTAATATATGTAATCGTATATCGACACACACGCATACATACGTACGAAATGTCTTGATTTTAACGTAGGCAACGAGAGACACCTACCAGATATTTAGCAGTCGAGCGAGAGAATAACAGTGAACAGAATCTTGATTGATAGTCGAGTAGTTGTCTGTGGCAAATTGAGAACTTCGATTTCCCGCTCTGGTTATCCCTGCGGGATATTCTTCTCGTTCGAAAGTCTGTGGTGAGGATATCGCTCTGAATTGCTCGTACATTTGTTTTGATCACAGACTCACTCGGCTGAAGGAAGCGAACATCGCATTCGTCCTGTATCACTTCAAAATGAGCTTAAAAAGTACATACGTATCCCCCTTAATTCCGCAATTCTAAAAACCGTACGAACTAACCGAAATAAGATTCTGCTACGCATAACCAATAACTCTCGGAAATCCTTACTAAATTAGAGTCATTGCGGAGGTATTTACAGATCTGATCCGCGTCGAATAGCATTTTGCGTCTCAGTGCGCATTTCTAAAATTTGCTCCTCTCAGGAACTCGAAATCCGAATCTAAATTTGTCTCGCCAACGAGCGAGTAAATATCTAAAGTCTCCTCGAGAAAGCCGTGTCAGGATCGCAAAGCGCATCCTCTCTTTCTCATTTCTCCTGTTTAAGCTCATATTGCACGTTTTGTCGTGGCATCGAACGAAAAGGCAAACTATCACAGCAATTGCCACGAAAATCGCCGCGCGCTCGTACGCGCATCGTAAGAGCACGAATGAGGAGGAGAGGCTTTGCCGAGGATATAAAACTTAAGCTAATTCCAATTGCACCTCCGATCCTCCAGCGGAGGGCTGCCTGGCCTCAACGGCGCGCTCAAAATGTGTCCATGTGGATGGTGTCCATGCTGGTGTACATGTTGGGCATGCTGTTCCTGCTGGTTTGACCGAACACAGTCACGTCGACGGTCTCGTCGTCAAGCTCCTCCGAGAAATTCACCAGAACCTGCGCATTTCATCCGCATATTATTATTACCCGAGGTAATCTCCATAAAAAAAGACCATCTCGGTCATTGTGAGGGAGCTTGACCGCAAAAGCTCTTTCCTCGGTGCGCGCATTCAGCGTTACACCGAGAGAACAGCCACTGTTGGATTAACGTGATATGTTTGGTTAAACAAGACTTGGTCGAACAGAATTTCTGATTATTATAATCACATATTTCGGTCACAATATAGGTAGACAATATGACAAATTTATCAAGTTGCGCTGAAAGAAATTGCCCGATTAAAAATTAACAAACGAGTATTTCTGATTATAATAACGACAAATTTTTGTATCAGGAAATATCCGACGAGAAATGTCGGTTCATAATTTTTTTATCGGTTTATTTGATAAAATTACACTATGATTGGAAGTATTCGATTAAATTTAATCGGATATCTTGATCGGATACGAAAATTAATCGGAATTTAATCAGAAATATCAGTTTGTTAATTTTGTAACAAATAATATCTTTTAGTGTGAAGAGGAGGCGTAGTGCGTTGACAGATAATTCACAAATTGGAGATCCCGGAGTTTGAATTTCACTAAAGTAAAGGCTACTTCTTCAAATATAACATCGAATCAATTTTCAAACAAAATAATCATACATTAACGTCTTAAAAAAACTTTCAGTTAAAAAGTAAAAAATTTCTAGTAAGAAATATGAGTATATTATTATTCTAATTGAATTAATCAGATAAGTTAGTAATCAAACTTGTCTGGTTACTTTAACCAGACTATGTGACCAAATTTATTATCTTAACAAAATATAATTCGTCCATATCTCACTATATCAGACAGTTTGTTTAATGTATAGTGAATTTTCATTAATTCAAACAATATTTTTTCTATACATGACAGAGATTGCGTTTTGTAATATTTTAGAATCGAAATTCCAACGGTGAACAAATTTTGTACCGTCAGTAGGATTTTCCGCGTAATATCAATACACGAATAAACGTTGGAAAATGCGTCGATTCGTCGCTATCGCGTGATGCAAAGTGCGGAATGCGCAACACACAGGCCCTTGTGACAAAGGAAACAATTCTATAATGGCGCGCAATCTCGGCCCGCCGATCGCGAGAAAGCTCGCTGTAAGCCGTAATGCCCGCGTCCATAATTATCGCGACTGCAAGTCGCGTTGCAAGACTGAAGTTCCGCGAGGACTAGGCGCAAACTTTCAGTCGTAGCAGTTCCGCGCGTGCTTTGCGTTGAAGCACGATCTGCGCGCGACACGAAAGGACCGAGGCGGTCCTGGGGGGACTGGCAGTTGTACGACGAAGGGCTTTCCTTGCAACAGGAAGTCCCATAAAAATCTTGAAACTTCTCCGACCGGCCAAGTTCCCTCGGTTTACATACACAGGTTCACCGTCGCCGCGACGTTGCAAAGAATTTCCCACTTTGTTCGTGAGATCGTAGCCGTAGTTTTTGCGTCACAGCGAAGAAACGCATTTACATAATGTTCCGCGACGTTGTGGGCTGGCCGCTTGGAACGAATATCTTTCTGCAAATTCGTCTCTTATCTGTCATTATTATTATTTATATTATTATTATCATTATTTGTACTACGTATTCAATGTAAACATTATCAAAAAAGTATTCTTTGTTGAAGATAGACATTTATTCAAAAGGAGAAAAGTAGACTGAATGTTCACTTTTCTTAACAGTAAAATAGTAACAGTAAAATTTCATTATTCTTCAAAAATATAAAACAAGGTCTCTTATACGGCTTTAGAATTAAATAAATCAAAATTCTAAAAAAAACTAAGTTGCATATGTTGTGCGCTATATAATTTAATCGTGCTAATAATTTTACATAAACGTCTCGACCATATGATGTGGTCCTCTTCAATACGAAAGTGATGTCGCGACGGTCAGTACATGTAAAAGGTTCTCATGTCACTTTAGAACACTTTAGCAGATTCTACCGGTTATTATATGTGTTTTTAAACTTTCTATATTTGGACTGCTGGACTGAAGGATATCTCTTATCATTTCTTTGTTTAGGAACAACGTTTCAGACTCTCCCGAACAGCTGACATGAGGACCTTTTATATGTACTGACCGTTGCGACATCACATTTGTACTGAGGAGGACCACATCATATGGTCGAAACGTTTATATAAAATTACTAGCACGATTAAATTACAGCGCACAATACATGCGATTTAGGCTCTTTAGTCCTTCCGTAGAATTCTGATTCATTATTCTTATTATTTTTTTTTTCGCACGGGACGTTTGGCGTGGAATGTGCGGAGCATCTGAAAGTCATCGACGCTGGTTGTGTGTTACGATCAATCGATTAATTATACGAGAGAGAGGAGAAACAGATCGCCGGAATGATGATGAGATGGAACTGCTGGGCCTCATTAAAGATGCTTGAAACGTTCGAAGCAATCGCGGATAAAATATATGACTGCATCCCTCTTCGGAAATGACTCGTCGGATCCCTTGTCGACAACGAGAGAACAATAACAGTACGCGCGTTTCACGTTCTCCTCGTTTCGCTGCCGAATGATTCGATAACCGCCGCGTCGTCTTGGCATTGCGACAATCTCCATCTTCTTAATTTAGCGTCGAGTGAAGCGCGGTCGTAAGTGCATTTTGCGGCTTCGGCTCTCGCCGCACATACGCACACATTTATGCGCATCCGGCTTCCGTAGAATGAATGCGCGCCTACACGCGCGAAACCTTCGCGAAGACTTTGCGCGAATAGTTCCGCACGGTGCACTGCGGCAATCCCGAAACTTCTTAGATTCGATCCGACCCAGTTTACTACTGTACTTAAAACTTAATTTATATTCCGAGCCATGCTAACTTGAGCTGTTGCTATTGTCGTTCCTGCAGAAGCTTGCAAAACAACACGGGGCAGGGTTCGTGGCAGGCCCTTAAATGTTCGCGCGAACAAAGTTTCGTCGAAGCGGAGGGATGAATACGCGTGAAGCAAGTTTCTATTCACGACGATTTAAATACAACGACAGGTAGGCAGGGGGCAGGGGGAGGAAGAGGAGGAGGAAGAACGACGGCGTTTGCCGAAGTGCATTACAGTGTGCGTGAACTGTTCGCGTCTCCTCAGCGATAATTAGCGACTGGGTAACCCCACAAAGTGTTCGAAGACTCGAAATCGCGCGGGGCCGATTGCGCGCCTTAAACGTCCCGGTGGATGGCGTTCAGTATATTTTCGGAGCGAAGCCATTTACGTAGAAATTGCGAGGCGTCACGAGCTGATAGATCGACCGTATTATTTGTCGAGGAGCGATTCTACGTTTGATGACAAAAAGGTCTCATAAGCCCCGTCCGGCACGATCCGCTCCTCGTTTCAAGTACTGAATTTTTCTTGCTCTCTCTCCGCCACTGCCGCCTTACGAGTGATCAATTAAGCTCCCATAATTTATCGCGCTCGATAACGCTCCCTCTCGAATTCCTCGCACGTTTTAGCTCACTCTCTTTCGCCTCTCTCTCTTCCTCTCCCTCCCTCCCTCCCACTCCCCTCTCACTCTCTCTCTCTCCCTCTCTCTCTCCCTCTGCCGGTGAATTGATATTTTTTTCCGCGCGCGCGTCGCACGCTCTTTAATGGGTTCTGATGTAGATTTACGACGGCCGCTTTTACGACCGAATTTTCCCGCGCGGTTTTTCATAACGCCCGCCTTTGCGAAATAAAATGAAGATCACTGTTTACCGCGGCGCTCTCTCGTCTCGCGAGAATCAGATCGCAGACTTTCTTGATCCACGGTCGATCGATCACCACCATCACCACCACCTCCACTACCCCCGCCTCTTCAGTGCGACGATTTCAATTCCCGCCTTTCCTCGAACGACGGCGATTCATTTCGGCCCGATCCTTCGAGTTTTCGAGCGCGAGTGTAGACTCACGGGGAATAGTCGGCAGTGAATTGCGCGCACACACTTTCGGCATCGTGAAATCTACATGCCCGCACCGGTAATCTCGCTGTCGCTCGACTCACCTGCGTGATTTACGATCTTTACGCGCAAATAAATCGCACAGCTCTGATTGATGTGCCAGCACCGAAAAGGGGTAGCAAGCGCGTAGGAAAAAAAGCCTCGATCTCTTAATTCCGATGTCATGACTTTTATCTTCGTTTCGCGAATGTGCGAAGAGTATTTCGTTGTCGATGATGCAATAAATTCTTAATCTGCGTATATCGCAGCGCGCATAGATCGACAGAAAAAACCCATTTTCTTTTTTTGCTTTTTTTCCCGCGACAATCCGGCGCGGGACAGGTTAACGTGAAATAGATTCCGGTGCGTTCTAGCGAATAAATTGAAACGAATAGAAGACAAACGCGAGTAGTTTCGTGGCGTAAATGCAAAAAAAAGTGCTCGCGCTGTAAAGCGTAGTTTAATTCTAATTCTGTTTCATTATCCGCGGCGCTTTGCGCGTGAAAAAGAAAAACAGATAAAAGAATACAAGAATAAATAAATAAAAAAAAAAGTGTGCAGATTACATCAAGCTTTAAGCGGCGTCGTAATGGCCATTTTTTAAGCTAATATCGCGCGGTAGCGCGGATTCTCTTTGTACGCCGTGACAGAATTTCCCGCATTTTCAGATTTCGCGTCGCGCTGCGCCTGCATCGCGAAAATAATTAATAACGTAATACCGCCGTGCGCGCGCGCGCGCCCGTTACGCGCACGTTCGAGGACGTGTTAATTAAAGTCAACGTCTTCGCGGAGTTGTATATGAAAGTTTCAAAAGTTTTTTAATTAATTTCAAAATTAAAATTTCTTTATTAACCAGCTTATGCAAATGCCGCCGGGTGGCCGACACTTTTCGTGTTAGTCGCGCGGTAAATTTCGCGAGGAAGAGTCGCGGAAGTTCGGCAATAAGAGAGTGGTCGAGAGAGAGAGAGATGCAAATTCTTCATGGGACGACAGTGACGGCGACGACCACACGCATCTTCTTCTTCTGCGCGCACTCGGCGGACACTCGCGTGAAATGTCGTTTCGTTGAAACGAGCTTTATTGCGCGACAGTCGAGCGTTGTTTTCCGACATTGTTATTCCTATCGTGAAAGCGCGGGCGCTTTGCGTGCCTCGTGCGAGCGCGCTCGAGGGGAAGCACGAGATCTCGCTGCCACCCGCAGCTTTTCTCCGTAAGTTTACGAACATCGTGGAAAAATGAAGCATCTCAGGGTAGAAGAGGCCAAGTTCGACGAGAAATCATAGGAAGCAGGTCGCGCAGCGGCGCGCACGCGAGACTTCGTCTACGTCAACGCGTCCCTGTCGATGCGCTGTGCGATTTTAATTAGCGTCGCGTTCGCGGCGAATAATTTCATTAAACCGCGAGACTTGAGCGGTGATTCGGGAAGAGACTACGGCTTTACATTCTGACGGCGCGTTCGCGACGCGCTGATGACTTGCATTTATCGACAATACGCATTTACCGACAATGCGCGCAATTCGCTCTCATTGAGCGACCTGAAACGTAGTCACCGTCGCGGCGGTGCGCGAGAGAGGAGCGCTCAGCAAGCGCTATCATATGTATAAGATTTATATCCTGCAACCATGGGAAGATTCGGGCTTCATTATTCGGATGATGGATCATTTCAAGTGAAAGAGAAGAAGAAGCGTCATTTATTAGACCATAAGACTGGGTTCGCTCCAACGTTATGAAGTAAATATACTAGAAAAAGTCATATTTTTTATAGTAAAGCAATGGCATATGACAAAGTTATTTCATAGAAAAAAGTTAAAGCATATCCTTAATTAAATAGGATGAATTATATATAAGACAAATTAAGAAAAACCTATATAATGTGTATGATTTGATTAGTTGATGCTTAACCATGTCAAATTTAGTCTTGCGTTTCACCTCTATCCAATAACAACGAATAATAATAATAATAACAATAATAATAATAATAACTCAGTAAAGTACAAAGTAACGGATTTTTTGAAAAAGACAATCCTACACATAGACAGTGCAAGCAGATTAGCTTTAGTATTTTTATTGTTGGCTTTAACTTTTATTGTTAGTTTTAGCTTATTATTGATCTCGAGAAAATGAGGAGATCAAATTGTTATGACATAATAAAGTAATGAAGAGAGACAGGGAGAATGAAGGGGAGAAAGCGGTTAATTAACAGCAGTTTTCAGGCAAGAGAAGAATGGCAGTTGGGCGGTGGGAAAGGGTAGGCACAAGCGATCGCGTTCCAGCTGCCGAGAAAGCATTTAGTCGAGCTTAGGGAGGCAGTCGGTACGGGTGAGTTTGCCACCCCTGCTTCTCGCAGCTTGTAAACCATCGGGGCTGCTGTGTAAGTGAACTACGAGACAGCGGATCCATTAATATCCGTCAGGATCGGCGGGACGAAAACGCGGATCGTCTTCGAGCAACAAGGGGAGGCGCCGTGTACCGGCGGTGCATCATCTGCTGAAGACACGGGCTTTAGAATATCGCGCCACTCAACTACGCAACCGGTCGATCACTCGCCAAAGGTCACGCCGCGAAAATTAATACCACGGCTCGATCGCGTCGACCTCGAGGCACCGTGGAGGCTTATGTAACGCGACGCGAGTTGTCAAGACGACGTTCAATCGATCGCGATTGAATGAGCGAGACACTTCAAGTGAATTCGTTTATCGTTCGCGTCAAGACTGATCGAGGAATTCGCTCGTTTCTTTTTGGTTTCTTGTTGACACGGGAGATCACACGGCGAAGAAGCATAAGCGAATTCTTCGACTTCATTTCAGCTTGATATCCGGCAAAATAATCGAGCCTGCGCGCGCAGGCAGCGTCTTCGAGATAATAGAGTAGACCGGGAACTAGAAGTCACACGGGTCAGTTGTCACAAAATTTATATCTTATGTAATAAATGGAGGAGCGTATTCTTATCTGTAGGTTGTTTGTATCGTGTTGGTCGCGTGTACACGAAACGACTTATCGCATGTAGTATTTACAACCATATAATATTTCTATCTTTTTCAAAATTAGACGCGGTGAATACATTTTTTTCTTGACTCTAATTTTACTGGTCCGTTGATTCTGGTATCTCTGATAGCAATCTCTCTTTAGTTGTAAGTAGTATTATTAGTCAATGGACTTTGTTCCACGACCATAATAATAATAACTAAGTAGTATTATGAGTTTAGCTAATTGTTCTTGCATTTAAATTAACAGTTATTGCAACGTATAACTTATAAATATAATCTCTTTTGTTCTAAGTGATTGTTCGGGTTAGGTTGACTTAAATTAATTGAGATTAGTTGTCACGTGTTGCTTGTCTGTAGTTACGTAATTGACGTGGCTTATGCAAAAGCATGGAAGCATACGAAATGATGTATTATGTTATACACGTCATAACAATGAGTCTGCATATAAGATTCTATAGTTCAAAGTTATTATTACAAAGTTTATGAAAGTTATTATCTTGTTGGTCCAATAATTATTTGTTGTATCTGAAGATATCACTAACTTTAATAAAACATTTTCAATCTTAAAACAGAAATAATTTGTTTTGTTTCCTTTATATAAGAGACACGTGACTCCTGAATATGAATCACATTTACACAATACTTTTCTTACTTAATAACTTTTTTGTACACACACACACACACGCACACGCACACACACACACACACACACACACACACACACACACACACGCGCGCGCGCGCGCGCGCGCGCGCACACACATATATATATATATATATAAAAAGATGTATGCAATATTTTTCAGTATTGTGGACATTTTCATATAAGTCTTTTTCATATAAGTTCATATCAATCTTTAGATAAGAGAAAAAAATATTATCTTTATATATATATATATATATATATATATATATATATATATATATATATATATATATATATATATATATATATAT